TTTTTTTTTTTTTTTTTGCCATTTGCTACTATTGTTCCTTTCGGACAGGAACAAGTCAAAGCAGGAGGGAGCAGAGGGGAAAATCAAAGTTGCACTCTTGGCCCATAGTCTTCTTGTCTAAGCAGAAGTCCTGAGGAGAAAGCCAAGTGTTCTTGGTTAATGCAAGAGACTAATTTTGTAGACTCACTACCTTTCTCAACATCTGGCTTAAATGTCCATCCTTGTCCCTACTGGCCAGTAGTATTGCATGGAATTGAGCAAACAATCTGATACTCCTATTTAAAAAAGAGCTTTATCAGCAGAGTTGATTATCTTCCTTTAACCTAGGAAAAGTCTGAAATTTTTATATTGCAGGACCCCTGTAAGTACTTAAAAAACTAGTGACTACTTCAAAGAGTTTTTGTGTGTAGGCTTTATCACTGTCAATTTTTGTGATGGAAGTTAAAACTGGAAATCTGTAAAATATTTATTTGTAGGTTTATTTCAATGTAACAACAATCAACCCCATTACATGGTAACAATGACCCATTTTGTTTCTGGAGAATGCTTTTTCCAAAAGTAAAATATATAGGTAAGTTGATTGGCGTTGCTTACTATTTTTGTAAATCTATTTATGTCTGGATAAATAGAATGCAGCTGTATTTGCTTATGTTTCTGCACTTACCTTGTCCCAAAATATCTTTTTGGTTGAAGTATATGGGAAAATTCTGTCCTTGTATAGATATGCAGTTGGAAAAGGCAGAGCTGTTTTTTAAAAGCGTTTTGTTTGGAGATACTTGTATACTTACAAGCAACTGTAAGAAATAATACAGAGAGAGATTGTGTAAACTTTCACCCAATTTCCTCCAATGATAATATTTTGCATAACTGCAATATCGCAACCAAGAAATCAGCATTGGTAAAAGCCAGCAATCTTAACCACGTTTTATGAATTCCACATGCATTCATTTGTGTGTGCTTAGTTCCATGTGACTTTATCACATGTGCAGATTCACGTATCCATCACCACAGTCAAGATGGAGAACTTTCCAACATCACACAGACCTCTCCTGTTACCCGTTGATACTTGAGGCTACCTCCCATTCTCCCTCCCCCCTGTTATTAGGTAACCACTACTCTTTAATCACCTTTTCAGCTAAAAATAGATGGGTCCGGTTTTGTGGCATGGTGGGCTAAGCCTCTGCATGCAGCACCAGAATCCCATATGGGTGCCGGATCGAGTCCTGTCTGTTCCTCTTCCAATCCGGCTCTCTGCTGTGCCTGGGAAAGCAGTAGAAGATGGCCCAAGTCCTTGGGCCCCTGCACCCACGTGGGAGACCTGGGGGAGGCTCCTGGCTCCTAGCTTCAGATCAGCTTAGCTCTGGCAGTTGCATCCCTCTGGGGATTGGGCCAGCGGGTGGAAGACTTTTCTGTCTCTCCCTCTCTCTGTGGCTCTGCCTCTCAAATAAATAAATAAATAAATCTTTAAAAAAAAAGTGGATATTCTTAGATACTACACCAAAACTCAAAAAATGGTAGTCTGTTAAAGATAAGCTGCACTGTGGGATCTGAAGCCATTAACAATGAACATTTCATAATTCACTTTGATTAGACCTTTTACTTTTATGTCATTTTTATTTTATGTCATTGTGATACCAAAAATGTCATTGGTGTTTTGACAAATATTAGTACACTGCGCTATATGGGTTTTCCAGATGTCACCACATTTCATTACCCAACCTCTCCAAATCATACTCATTCCTATTACCACCAATCTTATCTGCAGAGACTGAAAATGCTATATTTGGAAAGTTATTGAGTTCATGATAGCAGCTGCAAGTTCCCCAGAATTCTTTTTTTTTTTTTTCTCAGAAGCTTACACTTTAACATGGACAATAAATATTGCCATTGCTTTTCTGTGGAAAACAGACCTTTTTTTGTTCATTTTCAAGAAAATGTCTTTTGGGGCCGGTGCTGTGGCATAGAAGGTAAAGCTCCTGCCTGCAATGTCAGCGTCCCATATGGGCACCTGTTCAAGTCCTGGCTGCTCCACTTCTGATCCAGTTCCCTGCTAATTGTGCCTGGGAAAGCGGCAGAAGCTGTCCCAAGTCCCTGGGCCCCTGCACCCACATGAGAGACCCAGATGAAGCTTCTGGCTCCTGACTTTGGCCTGGTCCAACTCTGGCCATGGTGGATGTTTGGGGAGTGAACCAGAAGATGGAAGTCCTCTTTGTGTCTCTCCTCCTGTCTTTGCAACTCTGCCTTTCAAATAAATAACCTTTAGGAAAAAAATGTCTTTCTAATATTCAAGTATGAATAACTACAATTTTTCTATCAGTCATTTTTCCAAGTAAAAACGATGTTCCATAACTATGAAAAAAAGTCATAAGGCTCAAAGAATCAATCGCCCAAGTGATTTTCCTAAAACTGCCATTATGCATGAGTATGCAGCAAACTTAATTTGTAAACATTTCCCATTTTGTCATATAAACCTGTGGGTTATTTATTTATTTGCAAATCAGAGTTACAAAGTATTAGTGTGTGTGTGTGTGAGAGAGAGAGAGAGAGAGAGAGAGACTGATTTTCCATCTGCTGGTTCACTTCCCAAATAGGTGCAACAGCCAGGGCTGGGTCAGGCTGAAGCAAAGAGGCAGGAACTTCATCTGGGTCTCCCATGTGGGTGGCAGGGGCCCAAACACCTGGGCCATCTGCTGCTTTCCCAGGCTATACGCAGGCAGCTAGATTGGAAGTGGAGCAGCAGGAATATGAACCAGTGCCCATATGGGATGTTGGCGTCACAGGTGGCAGTTTTATCCACTACACCACAATTGCTGGCCCCAACCTGTAGATGATTTTTACTGCTTTGTCAAGGACATTTAAAAATGAATCTGTCATTTTTTCTTTTACTCCAACTGTGTGACATTGAAGAACTTTATGGCTTGAAATTGTTGCCTTGAGTTGTGCTACCCACCCTTGCTTTAGAGTAAATGTCGACATAGTGAAAAAAAAATCTAATATTTTTGTGTTAGTATGAAAACAGTTTTGACCTTGTGAGTCCTCTGAAAGAGTATAGGGATCTTTCAGGGTCCATGGACCACACTTTGAGAACTGCTGAAGTAAGATAATAGGTACAGTGGAAATTAATTACAGAAAGATTCCCAAGGGCAAGGTGATTCTTTTTTTTTTTTTTAACTTTTATTTAGTAAATATAAATTTCCAAAGTACAACTTTTGGATAACAGCAGCTTTTTACCCCCATAACCTCCTTCCCACCAGCAACCATCCCATCTCCCACTCCTTCTCCCATCCCATTCACATCAAGATTTATTTATTTATTTATTTTTTGACAGGCAGAGTGGACAGTGAGAGAGAGAGAGACAGAGAGAAAGGTCTTCCTTTGCCGTTGGTTCACCCTCCAATGGCCGCCGCGGCCTGCGCGCTGCGGCCGGCGCACCGCGCTGATCCAATGGCAGGAGCCAGGTACTTCTCCTGGTCTCCCATGGGGTGCAGGGCCCAAGCACTTGGGCCATGCTCCACTGCACTCCCTGGCCACAGCAGAGAGCTGGCCTGGAAGAGGGGCAACCAGGACAGAATCCGGCACCCCGACCGGGACTAGAACCCGGTGTGCCAGCGCCGCAAGGCGGAGGATTAGCCTAGTGAGCCGCGGCGCCGGCCAAGATTCATTTTCAATTATCTTTACACACAGAAGATCAATTTAGTATATACTAAGGAAAGATAACAACAGTTTGCACCCACACAGAAACACAAAGTATAAAGTACTGTTTGAGTACTAGTTATACCGTTAATTCAGCAAGGTGATTGTTAAGAGTTAATTTTCCTCCCAAGAACCTCACTTAAAAATCCAACATTATGTATTTATTTTTAAGATAGCAACCCCATATAGCCATTCCCTCTTTGTCAAACACTAGCCTGGTATTGTTCTTTTGTCCAATTCTTTCATGGTCTTCCATTAGTTCTTGTTTCCATCACCTTCTATTTATTTATTGTAAGATTTATTTATTTATTTGAAAGGCAGAGTTATAGAGAGGACCCAACAGCCAGAGCCTGGAACTCCATCCAGGTCTCCCATGTGCATGGCAGGGGTCCAAGCACTTGGGCCATCTTCTGTTGCTTTCCCAGGTGCATTAGCAGGGAGCTGGATCAGAAGCAGAGCAGCAGCTGGGACTAAACAGGCAAGGGGCTGCAGGCGGTGCCTCAACCCACTGTGCCCCAACTCTAGCCCCATCACCTTCTACGTAAATATGTGCTTGTCACTCAAGTTCTGTGTTTTGCTCAGAAGCACCAGATGGGGACACACTCCCAAGAATCACGGTGCTCCAGGTTCACGGAGGATGCCTCTAGGAACCCTGTTGTGGACTCTAAGACACATGGCACTACTTTTAGCACAGGTGTGTGACTCAAGCGAGGGGTCAGGTTTACCTAAGTTGGAAGGCTCTGCGGACCATTCTTGAACAGGCTGTTTCCGCAGGCAGCGAAGCGGAGGGCCCAGGAGTCCCTCAGGGTGCATGCCACTGTGACACAGCTTTAGACAGGCTTCCAAGTCAAGGGCTCACACTGGGCTCCTGCAGGCGACGTGAGCCGGGAGACTCGGTGCCTGACAATCTGCTTACGGAATGACGTCCAGAACGTGATTTCCTCCATCCCTGCTCACCCTCTCTGCTTCCTGATGGCCTCAGGTTCCCACTCTCTTACTAGTTGCCCCCAAAGTAACACGCCCATTAATTCTCCAGCCACTCCCACCGATGTTTAGAGAGGTGTCGACTTCCCAGCCTTCGCTTTGCCTTCATTTAAGGGTTTCTGAAAATGTACAGCGACTCGGCTGCCTCCGCCTGCCAGAACTCGTGGGGACTAATCACCAGGGCCCCGGGAGCGGGCGACCTGGCACCGGCGCCGACTGGGCGGGCTCGGGAGGGTGGAGCGGCCCAAAGGGGTTGGGCGGTTGGGCAGGGTGGGGACACTCTCTGAGGGGCGGCACTGACCTGCAGAGGGCCGGGCGGGAGCAGGAGGTGCTGCGGGCTCCGGGGCCGGCTCCAGGGAGCTGGGCGGGGCCAGGAGGGCGGGCCGGCCCGGCCCAGGAGGCGGGTACTGAGGGGCCGCACAGACCTGGAGAGGGCGGGACGGGCCCAGGCCACGGCTAGGCGGGCGTGCGGCGGGGCGGCCGCAGGCCCAGCGCGCCACCATGGTGCGACAGCGCCCGGGGGCTCGGGTATCGCTGGAGCCAAGGAGGCGGCCGAGCAGGCACGCGGGCTGAACTGAGACCTTCGGGAGTGGACGGGAGCAACGCCGTCCGGGTCCGACTCCTGCCCACCAGCCTCCCCTCAGGCGCGGACGGTCACCCCGCCGAACGATGCGCGTCCCCGGCCGCCCCGGGGGCTGAGCCCGCCGCTCCGCGCTCTGCCCTCGCCCCACCGGCTGCCCCCCATGGCTTTGCCCAGCGCCGAGGGTGCGGCCGACACGCCGGTGTCAGCGGCCCGGGGCGCCCGGGCCGGCTCCGCGTCGTCGTCCTCCGGCTCCTCCGGAGGCTCGGCCTCGGCGGGCCCCGGGCTGTGGGCCGCGCTCTACGACTACGAGGCGCGCGGCGAGGACGAGCTGAGCCTGCGGCGCGGCCAGCTGGTGGAGGTGCTGTCGCAGGACGCCGCCGTGTCGGGCGACGAGGGCTGGTGGGCCGGCAAGGTGCAGCGGCGCCTCGGCATCTTCCCCGCCAACTACGTGGCGCCGTGCAGCCCGGCCGCCCGCTCCGCGCCGCCGCCCGCGCCGCCGCCGCCACCGCGGCCCGGCTCGCCCGTGCACGTCGACTTCGAGCTGCTGGAGCTCAAGGAGCTCATCGGCGCCGGCGGCTTTGGGCAGGTGTACCGCGCCACCTGGCAGGGTCAGGAGGTGGCGGTGAAGGCGGCGCGCCGCGACCCGGAGCAGGACGCCGCGGCGGCGGCTGAGAGCGTGCGGCGGGAGGCGCGGCTCTTCTCCATGCTGCGGCACCCCAACATCATCGAACTGCGCGGCGTGTGCCTGCGGCAGCCGCACCTCTGCCTGGTGCTAGAGTTCGCCCGCGGCGGCGCGCTCAACCGCGCGCTGGCCGCCGCCAACGCCGCCTCGGACCCCTGCGCGCCGGGCCCGCGCCGCGCGCGCCGCATCCCCCCGCACGTGCTGGTCAACTGGGCAGTGCAGATCGCGCGGGGCATGCTGTATCTGCACGAGGAGGCGGTCGTGCCCATCCTGCACCGGGACCTCAAGTCCAGCAACAGTAAGTTGGCGGTGGGAGGGGGGGGCGCCGACCACCCCTGTACCAGCAGCGGGCTGGCTCCGCAGGGCGCAGTGCCAGGTGCCAGGAGGCGGGGGTCAGTCTTGGCGGCGCCGGCGCTATCTCATGCCCCGGCCTTGCAGGGCTCAGAGGTGCAGCTAATCCTTGGTTCCCTGCTGTGGGACAGGTGACAGGCCTGCCTTGACGTCCTTGGATGCCTTTTTAAAAACGCGGACCAGACTTGCTAGCAGATGCCACGTTTGTGAAATACCTGAATCTACTGGAGAGCCCAGGCGGCATTTTGGTCTTGCGGTACCGTGGGTGGGCAGACCTTGCCGACCAAGGCCTTCCACGGAGCGTGAGGGACCCGTGGTGGTCCTTCCCCACCTGGTGGCCCGCCTCAGTCACACTGCCCCTTGCCTTTCTCATTGCTTTTCTCTCACTTTAAACGTGGCTTCACTTATTTTGACTTTTCCCAAACATCTTCATTCGGATGTTTCTGTATATGAAATAAAATTCTGTCATTCGCTCGGTGAGTTCATTTCTCCAGACAAGAGGCATCTGTTTGTGCTGCTATGCATTTTTGGCTTAGGGGTAAGTGTACAGTCCTTGCCCAGGTACTTGAAATCTTAAAGACTTGGGCTGTGTCTCTTACCTTTTTGTTATTTATTTGAAAGAGTTACAGACACACACACACACACACACACACACACACAGAGAGAGAGAGAGAGAGAGAGAGGGATTCCATTTGCTAGTTCACTCCTAAGATGGCCAGAGCTTTATCCAGGCCTCCCACGTGGGTGCAGGGGCCCAGGCACTTGGGCCATGTTCCACTGCTTTTCCCAGACCATTTGTAGGGAGCTGGATTGGAAGTGGAGCAGCCAGAACTCCAACTGATGAGATGCCACAGCCACAGTCAGTTTTTCTCACTGTGCCACAACATGGGCCTCATCCCTTATGTTATTTATAAATCAAAGAAGAACTGCAAGCAACATTAATTTTTTTCTATATAAAAGAGCTAATAGATTGACCGTTTGAAGTTGTTTCTTTAATATTGAAGATCATTTCATTTTCTTAGCATGAGGTGAAATCTCATGAAAGAGTAAAGGTTGCGGCCTGAACTGGCATTGGCCTGCCACAGCTGCATGTCTTTCAGCCTTGTAAAACCTGCTAGGACAGGAGCTAACTGAAATGGAAACATTGTCCTCTGAGTGCAGAGAGAAGCCTGACAAGAAGGAGTGATATATTTGCTGCATTCTTATGTTCTTTCCTATTCAAAATTCTTCAATACTGAAAATTTACTTGAAAATTACCACTGTAGCATTTTCATTATGTGCAGTGGAAGTAACTTGAAGGTTGTAGCTTTATACAAGCATTGGATACTTTCAGGTTTTATGACCTTTCTTCCTGGTAAGTCTCTCATTATTTAGATTGCAACTGCTGAAACAATGGGAGCAAAGTCTAACAAAATACGGTGTAGAAAGTGGTAGTGGTAGAGGTGTCCTGAAGGCCACGTGAAGGCGTCTGGAGTGATTTGCATGCATGTAGACTGGTAAAAACAAAACACATGATTTGCATTGCACTTTTTGTAAATGTTTTAAACTCAATACAGTCTTCACTGCCAATTTGTGCTTTTTCCCCTAAAATATGCTTTTATTGAAAGAAATGTTTAATCAGCTGCTGTAGAGCAAGTGACTTTCCCATGTGTGCTGCTCAGTGACATCCTGCAAACCTGTGTCTGCTGGGCGCTTTCTGCAGAACCAGGTATTTTAAGGACAGCAGCAACATCATTCCCTCCTCTGCGTCTTGGCAGGTGCAGCAGCTGTGTGACAGTATGGAGGCTGGCCTTCCACAAACTTATTCTGTTCTGAGACATCAAATCTCCAACAGAAACACCTCCAATTGCATAGCCCCTTTTATGAAAGAGTGACAGGGACTGTAGCTTTTACATTTGCACTGGACCTAGTGTTGTTTAGTTGCAGTAATTCTTGAGGTCTCTGTTCACACAGCAGAGTGTGGTTGCTAGTGTTTATAAAGCATCTGAGGGACTGCTAATCCATGCTGCATTTTTGCAAATAGTGAACGTGTTTATGTAAGATGTAAACTTTGTTTTAAAAAAATGTGCTTTTTTATTTGAAATTCAGAGCTACAGAGGGGGGAGGGGAGGGAGGAATGGCAGAGAGAAATCTTCCGTCTGCTGGTTCACTTCCCAAATGGCCACAACGACCAGGGGTCTGGGCTGATCTGAAGCCAGGGGCCAGGAGCTTCCTCTGGGTCTCATTCATAGGTTCAGGGGCCCAAGCACTTGGGCCATCTGTAGCTGTTTTCCCGGGTGCATTAGCAGGGAGCTGGATGGGAAGTGGGGCAGCCAGGACTTGAACAAGTGTGCACATGGGATGCCAGCACTGGGAGCTCCGGCTTTACTCGCTACACCACAGCGCTGGCCCCGAGATGTAAACTTTTTAAAGACTCCTATCGTTATTAAATAGTGAAAGGAACACAACCCTGGAATAATAACTATGGTCAAATAATTTGTATGGACGCAAGAAAAAGTAGGACAGTTGAGTGTAGACTATGTGTTCATAGTAGATATTATATAATTTGAAGGTGATTGCATGCTACTAAGTTTTTCAAAGACTTCTCACACTTAGAAAAAAATTCTCACTTTCTGGAGCATGTTAATTTCTATAATTGTCATGTAAGAGTCCCTTTAAATTGTTATACCCTTCAAAAGACTTAATTGGCTAGTCCCCAGCCTAGCCAAATATTTGTTATCATATGACCATTATTATGGTTATTTAACTATCACAAAATGAAAATGTGCCTCAAGTGTGTGAATCATAGTGCCTAGCGCATAGCCTTGTTTTGGCTGTTTCATTTCACTTGTTCAATGAGTAAATTCAGGTATTTTGGAATTCTGCTATAAGTGAAGCTCCAATTTCTTGTTCAGACTTCTGAGCATAGCAGATACCCTATTAAAGTATATTTGTTTGACTTTACTGGATATTTGCTAATGGTGGTAGTGAGTTAATGATAATGTAAACAGGTTTCAAAGATCAATATTGAATTTTATTTTCACTCCAAAGTCTACTTATGTAACAAAGAGCCAGTGAAAGACAGCTTGGAACAAAGTTATTGGAAATTATTGTTTAAAACAAATGTTTAAATTTGTCCAAAGGATATATTACTCTGGACAGATTTTCTCTCATCTTTTCTAATGGGTCTTACATTTTTATCATATCTTGTGAAACAATGTCTATGTTGAAATTGTAGCTATTGTGTTGTAATGATATAAATAACGTTGTCCCTTTGTTAGCAGCAACAGACTGAAAGTTGAGCTAGATTGGTAGTCTTTAAGCATCATTCGTGTTGTAAAACCACTGAGTCTGGTAACTCCCAGTGTGCACAATAAGTAGAAGACACTGTGCTTAAAGTCTGTTCATGTATTTCAGCTAGGGAACAGTAGAAGGCAGCTTTGGGTTGTTGTGGAAGTTGCTCCTGAGCTTCAGCTCGTTTATTTGATACCTCCTGAGTGCCTACCGTGTGCCGGTCACCCAGGGACACACTGCCAAGCCTGAAAAACCTGCTGACATAGAGTTGAGCCTGGTAAGAAAGACCAGAGGACATCCATGCAGCTGCAGTTATGAGTATGTGGTGCTATCACGAAAATAAAGTCAAGGGTTGGAGAATGACCAGATGGAGGATGGGGGTGCTCATTCAGAGAGGTAGTGCAGGGAAGCTGCTCTAAGGAGCATGAAACTGTCAAGCCAAAATCCAGGCAAACGAAGATGGAGCAGCAATGAGCCTGGCTTATTGGAGGAGATGGGAGAAGACAGCGGAGGCTCAGGTCTCCAGGTGGAGAATAGAGGGCCAGGCAGGCATGGATCAGACCTTGTGGCATCCATCCATGTTGGATGGATGTTGGTTAGATATTGGATTCTCCTTCATCAGAGGAGTCTTGGAACATTTTGTGCCGAGGAGTAGCGTGATCTGATCTCTGAAAGAAGACATGGGCTGAGGTGCAGGAGAGACTGCTGTGGCCTGTGAGTTAGGGCTGTTCAGGTGGGCCATGGTGCTGGCTGTAGATGTGGTTTTCAGAGCAATTCCTGGGGGAAGTGAAGCTAAAACAGCACACATAGGAATTGCTGAAGATGGTTAGAATTATTAGAATTTAGTCCAAGTGTTTTATTTATCCTGGCACAGTTCAGGTTTGAAGGAAGATCATGTGGTGTCCTTCATGTTTCCTTGTTTCTTTTGGTAATGTTGCTTACTATAATCTACCTTTTATTTTCTTCAGAGGAAAATGATGATTCAAAATGATGAGCCACACATTAAAGTAGCCACTTAGATACTTTTTATGTCAATGGTTAAGCATCTTTTATCTTGATGTTGTTAGACTTTCAGACTAGTTATCTATTATTTTACAACTACATTTAGACTCTATAAATAGACTAAGTAATATTTATGGCTGGCGCCGCGGCTCAATAGGCTATTCCTCCGCCTGCGGCGCCAGCACTCCAGGTTCTAGTCCTGGTTGGGGCGCCGGATTCTGTCCCGGTTGCTCCTCTTCCAGTCCAGCTCTCTGCTGTGGCCCGGGAGTGCAGTGGAGGATGGCCCAAGTCCTTGGGCCCTGCACCTGCATGGGAGACCAGGAGAAGCACCTGATTCCTGGCTTCGGATCAGCATGGTGCGCCTGCCACAGCGCGCCAGCCGCAGCAGCCACTGGGGAGTGAACCAACGGCAAAAGGAAGACCTTTCTCTCTACCTCTCTCTCTCTCTCTCTCACTGTCTAACTCTGCCTGTCCAAAAAAAAAAAAAAAAAAAGTAATATTTATTATAAAATGTGATTTTTAGTCCTTTTACTGGGACACACTGCAAAAGGGATCTAATTTTTTTTAGCTTTCCCTAGCACAGTGTAAATAAAGAAACTATTGAGAAAATTATAGCAAATATAATCTCCAAATAAGATGTTTAAATAGCTCATAACAGTGATTTGGGGTATC